CCCCAAAACCCCAAAACCCCAAAACCCCAAAACCCCAGGCCCGATTGTTATAATTGAGTGAATAAGAATTCAACTTATTCATGGTGATTCTTTGTATCATTGAAGCTATATTTCTTCATCTAGGTCCTCTTTGAGCTCTATAGGTTAGTAAGAGTAGATACCTATGTCTTTAGACTCTTCCTTGCCGTTTGATCTTGAACTTATTGAGGAGGGATTTTGTGGAATATAGCTAAATCCTCTTCCTTGATTTGGATTTGACCGGATCATTCCTACAAGATTTATAAATACAGACTTACTATCATCATCTATATAAGGATTTTGCTAAACAATTCTCAAATAAATGTCATTAGGCAGAATTCTCTTCTCCTTTCAACTTAAATGGGAATTTCAAGAATCTTCTAGTCGAGAATATCTTACCTTTGTTATCATTTAAATCCTAAAAATGTAACGGTTTCTGAACTTACGTGATCTGCTGTCATAAAGTCAGATCTGTGTCTTTCTGCAAAAATCCTCAGTGCCTCGTGCTCTTCAACCTCCTCTTCTTCTCTTTCCCGCTCTTCGTCTTCTGGAGTGGCTCCTCCAAAATACTTCTGCAGCACCAGTCTGTCAAAAGTGACGATGAAGTTGATGGCTCTTGACTTCATTCTCAGGATCTTTCCTCGGATATCGTCTCCGAACTCTTCGTCAGACTGACCTGTTTCGTCAGCAATGGCTTCTGCTTGCTCTTTCTTGGAGCCTTTCTCGAACGAAGCATAGATCCTCCTGAGCATTTCTTTTTCTTTGTCAAGCCCCACTGCACGTGCAAACACCGACATGAGGCCTCCAAGCACAATAGTGCTGACAAGTACGATGCTGAGTGTGGTCCCCATGATGAAGTCTCTGTTCTCCGAAACTTCTGGTGAAATCTGGGCACTCAGACCGAATGCAATGGCGCCCTTTACAAGGCCAGAAAACCATATCACTGCGAACTGGTTGAGCTTGATTTGCTCTGTACACCAACACACCATTAAGTATGATATCACCATCGAAATGGCTCTTGCAATGAAGGCTGCAAACAACACCAAGAACGAGAACCCAATCGACATCTGGTGGACTTTGATGCTGAACAGTGACACTCCCATGTACACGAACAAGATGGCTTCGGCTGCGTGGCCGATGGTCTCGACTGCAAGCTGCGATCCTTTCCGTGACTTCTGACTCATGCTATAGATGGTGTAGTAACTCATGGTCATCCCACACGAGAATATCGCCATGATGCCTGAAAGCTCGATCATCTCAGAGACCACATATCCAAGGTATGCAAACAGCAGAATCAGAAACATTTCCCTGGCCGGGTGAACTCGCAGTGTCGGCACGTTCTTCGAAATGAAGCTGGCCAGCAACCCGAACAAAACCCCCAACAACACACTGAAGAGTGTCATGAAACAGAAGGATGCCAAGATCGAGATTCCATCACTTGACAACAGCGAGAAGTTTTCACTCTTGAGCATACGGCCTTTCAGCACATCATCATTGGCTGTGTCGTCAGTTCCTGGAGTGCTCGGAGCTGCAGACTCATTCGTGGCTACACAAAGTTATTCACAAGTATTGACAATGCCAATGAAAGTCATGATGAGTTGTCAAGCCTACCTAGGATGTATCCTTCGACAGTCCTCACGAGCAATATGCTCACTGCATCGTTCAGGATACTTTCTCCGAAGACGATCGAGTTGAGTTTGGGGTAATCTTTCTTATTTAATTATCGTCAAAGCTGCTACTGAGTCTGAGGCTCAGAGCATGATGGCAAGCAACATGCAGTCGTATTGGTCAGGCCTCATGCTTGACGACTCTCCAGTGAATATGATATGGCTGGCACCCACAATCAGGTAAGATAGAAACATCATACACAGCAAAGTTCCCACAAGTCCAAACATCAGGATGTACGAAAAGTTTTCAATGAAGTTCTGCTTCTTAAGCGTGTAGCCAGCCGAGAATATGATGGGAGGTATAATAAAGTAAAACAGAGACGACTCACTGAAGGCCACAGTTTGGTTGAGGCCATATTTTATCACAAGGCCAACTAAAATACCGAGGAAAACGGCAACTCCACTTTCATGGATAAAGTCCACTCGTTTGATTTCGATGATTTCGGCAAGGACAATGTAAACTATCAAGATGACGATTCAGAGCATCATCTATCTGGATCAACTTTCACCTTACCTCTATAGACAATTTCTCATCTGACATTTTATTCAAAATTTTCAAATATATGATGACATTTGGGGTTTTGGGGTTTTGGGGTTTTGGGGTTTTGGGG